GGAAGCACTCGAGCATCGGGAGCACGCGCTGGCGAGTCCGAAGGCGCTGCAGCGGCAAATGCAGGAGGCCCCGCGATGGCCGCCGCCAGGCCACCAGCGGCGGGCACGACAGCGACAGCCAGCTCCAGATCCCGCTTCCTGGCCTCAATGATGCTGACATTGCCCCCGACGGCGATGCACTCACGGACGAGCGTGGCCGTGCCCAGCTTGACGAAGGCGAACTTACCCTGGATGACCGCGCTCGCGTCCGCGCTCCAGTCCTGACCGACGCTCGGGGCGCCAGGCTGCCCGTCGTTGGCTACCACGATCAACTGCGTAACACCCCCAGCGGCAACCAGTGCAGGCGCCGCGGCCCCAGCAGCGGTTCCAGGCACAGGCGCGATCCCAGCGCCGCCTCCGACAGCGAGGGCGCCTCCTCCAGCGGGCAGCGGCACAGCAGCCAGCGGCGGCCCAGCGGGAGCGGGCACCACGGCGCCCCCCACGGGTGGAGCTTGGGCGGCGGCCTGACCTCCAGGCAGCCCACTGCCAGCAATCTGGCCATGATCAGCCACCCGATCGCCAGCTTCGGCGTCCGCGGCGGGGCCATCGACTCCCACGGCAGCCCGCCGCATCTGCGCAGTCGCGATCCCGTCATCGAAGATGTGGCGCCACTCCTCGTTCGTGTGCAGCTGGCCTAGCGGAAGGAAGCGGTGCAGCACCGCGTCGGCGGGGATCGCTGGCGGCACCGACCCCTGCACACAAGGTCGGCCGCCCAGCGCCACGATATTCTCGGGATAAACATCGTCATCAGGCGTCGCGATTACCCACGTCGTTCCCTGGACCTGGCAGAGCAGCAGGCTCTTGTGCCAGTCTGCCCCCCCGCCCCCGTGCCACACCAAGATCAGTCGACCTGGCGCGATCGGCCTCGACTCGGCCATGCACACGGCGAAAGCCCGCTCCCCAGACAGCGCCCGCGCAGCTGCCAGTCGCCAGCCCGACGAGGGCCGCGACCACCACCGCGATGAGCCACCACCTGCCGCGGCCTCGCACCACTTCTGGGCAGCTGGCCTCCGGGCAGCTCGGGCAAGCCGCGCCCCCGAGCGCACAGGGCGGGCACTGCAGCGCAGGGCACGCCAGGTGTGGAGAGCAGGTGCAATCTGGGCAAGCACGCTCGCTCTGCCCAGCCCACACCACGGACGCGGTGCCCGCCTCCCGCTCAGCGTCCGCCAGCACGTCGCCGAGCCAGCGACACATGCACGGGCGCTCCCCTGCGGACGGAGCGGCGGCGCGCAGACCCTGGAACAACAAAAGGCTGCAGAGCGAGGCAACGGGCGAGGCACGCTAAGCTCCTTCTACTTTTTTCCCTCCCCGTCTCACAGAACGGCCCCTCTGACATCATTACTGCGCACGCACTCTCATCGTAACCATCATCGTCGCCGCCATCGTCGTCATCACCGTCGTCGGTCCTCCTATTCATCCTAGAATGCGCGAGCGCGATTGATGCAGAATGGACGAACGCGATATTGATGTACGCAGCAATGACCAGCAATCTTGCGAGCAATTTGCTGCGCTCATAGACGCCGGCGAAATTTACGCCTGCATGTCGCGATGGCCGGCGGGAAATATCCCTCGGAACGCAACGCCGGCGACAATTAGGTTGGGGTCCAAAAACGCGACCGGTGAAAATTACACCACCCTCGTTGAATCAAGGAATGAGAATAAGACAGCAGCTGTGCCTGTTGTTACCTTGCCCTCCCATCGCCGCATAATGAACCACCCCTCACCCCCATACATTGGTCCAGGCACGCCGTGTCGAGGTAAGGTGATTGCAAAAAAGGTGTCTGAACAGGCGACGACAGTAGACAAAGTGGAAGGGATCATTCGAGAGCACCGTACGTTATAAATGGAAGGGTTGCAACGCCTGCAATTACCTTGGTACTCCTACCCCGATCAACCCCCGACCCCACCCGTATGGAATAATCAAGCTTGTCATTCCAGGCGTGCAGCGCTTAATGTATACGAGCTCGTTGACAAGAAAAGCGGAAGAGGCGAGGCGAGTGAAGTGAAGTGACAGCATGTGGAGGAACGGACTGTGCACAAGGTGACGAACGATGGATGCCTAGGTGCGCGTGTGCTTAGGCTAGCACAATCTGCGGTGGCTGGCCTGTACGTATGGCAACCTAGGTAAACAGTGTGGCAATTCTAGGGCTGCTACCCATTTCTTCGGTTCTTGGGGGGGAACCCCTTTCACCGTCTCAGTTCCTAGAGGGGTGTGCCCACGTCACTGTGGCCATCCTCCGCCTCCTGCTCCTCCTCCTCCTCCTCCTCCTCCTCCTCCTCCTCCTCATCCTCCCTCTCCTCCCTCTCCTCCTTTTCCTCCCTCTCCTCATCCACCTTTTCCTTCTTCTCCCTTCCCTCCCTCTCCTCCTCCTACTCCTCCTCCTCCTCCTCCTCCTCTTCTTCTTCTTTATCATTATTATTATTCGTATAATTATTATTCGTCCTCCTCCTCCTCCTCCGCCTCCTCCCCCTCCTCCTCCTCCTCCTGCTCCTTCCTCCTCGGTTTCCTCCTCCTCCCTCCACCGCCCGCCACACTTCCCGAGCCTGCGGCAAGGTCATCAGCTCGTCGTTGTCGTTGTCGTCGTGGTCGTCGTCGTGGTCGTCGTCGTCGTCCTTCTGGTCGGCGGCAACGGCCGCAATGCCTTGAATGTTCCCTCCGGGGCCTGAAGAATGGCCTCCAGAGGCCGAGCCTAATCAAAGAGGAACTCGGGAGACTCTGCTGTTCCTGGCCTCTGGAGGTCGAGGCAGGTCCGGCGATGATGCAGCTCCAAGGGCCCTCGCCACGTCGCTGGGCTTCCGAGGAGCCCACGGAGATGGCGGCAGCTGGGCGGGTGCCAGCGCCCCAGGAAGCGCGATAGGGAGCGAGGGAGGAGGAGAGGGAGGAAGAAGAGGAGCAGGAGGAGGCTTGAAGCAAGCAGTGCTCTATCCAGAATGAGGGCCCAACAGCGGGGAAGGCTGGGACAACCACCCCGGCCTCGATTTTTCCGGAAATCTATGGAGTCGAAAAACAAAAACATGCATGCGCATCAGCTGTCGGCGCTGGACCCCCTTCCCTGGCGCGTGGACCGTGCCAGGGGTGGCGCCAGTGGCGCCACCAGGGGACTCTGGCGCCGATCCAATACATTCGCGCGGACCTCCGGCAATTTTTATGTTTATGCCATCTTCTGTTTCTCGATGGAGGCCTGGTTTAGGGTTTAGGTTCAACCAAAGCACGGCGATGCCTACATACTGGACGTGCCATACTCTGGCGCGGTGCTCACATCCCACCCACCCTAGAAACCCACTACATATGAAGAGGTACATGCTCTGATGCATGCAAACCAGCGGGGAGGGCCGCGTGGAACGTTGAGAAGCAGCGAGGAGCAGGAGTGAGGAGCAGCAGGTCGACGCAGCACAGGAACGCGCGGCGGCCTTCGGGAGGAGCGCGCGACTTGGCTTCGGAGTGTTTGGGGCCGCCCAGGGGCGCGCGGCGGTCCATGCGGAGCGCACGCCGCCCTCGAGCGGGCACCACATGAGCGGAACGTGCACCGCACCATGATCTTCTTGGACGATCGTGAGGAACGCACACCGGCCGCGCGGGTCGGATGTGCCCCGCTCCACACTCTTAATGCAGGATCGCGAAGGGCAAGGAGTTTGTTTCTTTCGGCGGCGCGCGCGGGATGTGGCCCGCGCCACATGTTTCATTGAGGATCGTGCGAATCTAGAATTAGCTTCGCATGGCAATGTGGGCCGCGCCGCATTTTTAATGCAGGATCGCGGGGGGTTTGGAACTGAGCCCCCATCGGCGGGTTATGGGGGGCCCGTCTCCCTTTGTGAGCGTTTTCTTATTCGACGTTTCGACATTGGGCGGAAGGGGGGGGTCTGGCTCCAGACCTCTGCTTAGCACAACTGCTTACAACATTGCGTCCTCTGGGGGAGACCCCACCCGCTCGAAACAGGTGCCACAAACAGCCAAGATCTACTCCATGGGGGGGGATGGGGGGCGACGGCCCGCGCCGATCGGCAAACAAGTGAATAAACAACTATCACTTCAGGGTTTAACTCCAGATATGCGACGTCCTGAATTTTTCATTACGGGATCCCTGGAAGTCCCGACCTCTTCCCCGGGACCGGTTTTTCGTCCTGACTCGTTTCTTGACGGTCCCGAGGTCGGATCATTCTGGGAATCTATCTTGATAAAAAGGTGTTTAGGGGCCTGCACCTCGCCATCGTCTGCTTCCCTCTCGTTCCCGATCTCCCCTTCCGCCGCCGCGCCGCACAGGTTGCCGGCAGCCGGTGCGGGACGCCACGGCCCACTCTTGAGGGGTGCCTGCTGTGGAGGACGAGGTCTCGCCTTCACGGCCCAGCGCTGGAGGCGGCCGGGGGGCGGGTCTGAACTGGAGGGGGCCGCAGGAACTCGGCCAGGAGAAGGGGAGGAGGCCAAATCCGCTCGGAATCGGCCTTTGCATCCCTCCAGGGACTCAACGGGTGTAGCCTTCCATCAGGAGGAGGGGAGGAGGGGAGGAGGCCAAGTCCGCTCGAAATCGGTCGTCGGACCCCCTCCAGGTGTCTATCGGATGTAGCCTTTCACCCCCGATCTGTCGTTGACGGCCTCGGGCCCCGAGAACGCCCCCTCTTCCTGGAAGGTGAAAGAGGCAACAACGCCTTCCCGAACCCAGCGCCTCGAACCCAGCCCCCCCCTCCTTGCTCGCCGGAGCCAGTGCCGGGCCAACTCGGACCCCCGGTCGGCCCAAAGCAGCCCAGAGTAATCATATGGAAATCTCTGGAGGTCGTTGCTGTCGGCGTCGTTGTTGCACGGCGGGTGCCGCGGGGGAACAATAGTTAGTTCCCCCTGTTGGTGGAACACCAATCCGTCAATACGGCCGCCGGAAACAAAACAAATTGCACCTTTTTGGGGCGGTTCTTTAGATCATGAAAGGTTCTGAAGAAATCTCTGAAGGTCCGGTGAGGGGCTGGCGGTCCTGCATCTCCAGGGCCCGCGCCACGTCGCTGAGCCGAGCGCGCGCGGCGACCAGCTCGGCGCTCTCCCGCAGGAGGCGGGCCCTGCCGGGGGGGGGCGACGTGCACGGCAGGGCGGGGCACGGCCGGCGATCCTCGAGGCGTGGGTGATGGGGCCACGCCAAATGAGAATTCCGCTTCCTTCGGCTACACGTATCGAAGACGAGAAAAACGGCGTAAACATGACATTTTGGAAATCCGCGCGGGTTTCTCGGATCCCGGCGGGGCCCCCTTCCCTGGCGCGCGGAGCGCCAAAGGCGGCGCCGGAAGCGTTGCCAAGGGGCCCGCAAAGCTTGAAGGTTGGGCATGTCCTCCTGCAGGCGGACTGTGGGAGACAAATCCAAAATTGTCAAACAAAAGGAAAATATTCAAACAATAACGGAAAACGCGTCGCCTGATCACCTTTATTGTTTGAAAATTTTTCCTTTAGAGGGACCTGCCCGACTTAAGCGGAATTCTGAAAGCTCATGTTCATATCGTTTGTTTCTTCTTCGAATGTACCCATCGGTCGGGGGAAGTACAGTAAGCAGAACCACGAACTAGGAAGGCATTGAACATAGGTTGGGTGTCCGCCCGCCCCCGAAGGAGGACAGGAAAAGGTGAAGCCACTCGATCATTGACGGAGGAAGGCGCTTAAAGTACAGTTGGGGCCCGACCACAAGAAACCTTCCAGAAGAAGCCCAACCCTGAGACCCCAGGACGTCCATTGACTTTTGGTGTGGGAGCGCCACGCTTTCCACAGCAAAACCATCGAATCCAAGAAAGCCGGGTGTGATTATGATGCGTTTTAATGCAATGGCAAAAAGGAGCTCCAGGAGGTCAAACGGCAGCGAGTGGCGCATACACACACGTGACACACGCACAATCTCACACCCGTGAAATATCACGAGCTAGCCAGCAAACCGCGCAGCACCGCTGGTCTCAGTAAGCCTCTAAGGGCAGTGAAAGCAGTATTCCCATGTTGAGACCACTCAAGTCAAAGGCAGTCAGGACTCAGTCACTCACTTCCCCGATGGGATAGCATTCATCCTGGCCCTCGCCAGTTGCTTCTTGACCTTCTTCAAAGTAGATTCAGGGTCTGGAGTTACGTCGTACGAACTTGTACGTAAGACCTTAACAAGGGAATGTGTAGGCATATTCTTCGGCATGGAACCAACGGCCATAATGCTTGTGTCGCTCCATCGGATGTATCACAAAATGTGAGTGGGTGTAAAATCTCTGCTTCTACCGTTCCATGAGTCCAAATACCTTGTCTTAAACGACTCACATGGATACTCAAGCGCTTATCCTCTGTGTTTCCCGTAGTTGGTGCTACGAGATGCTCTTCAAGGCTTCTGCAATCAGTCATCCATAAGTTTCTGATAGAGATGGCTGATTTGTCTTCCCAGCTGGTTGGCAACTTCTTTCCCGCGCCAAGCATGCCGCGCGCATCTGCGATGGCGGCGCGAATGCGCACGCCATAACCTATGCCTCATGAGCAAGCCAGGGTCTCTGCTTGTAGTGTAGATTTACATATACCGTTTGATAATTTTACTAGAAATACATACCGGGAGCCCATGATCACTGTTCCCTTCGATGAATCCAAGCCCTGCGGGATCATTAAACCTAGCCCTCTGTGATCTGAGAGGCTCGATTCTACCCGAGACTACATCCTCTCCCCCTGCCCAGCTGGCGCCAGTAACAGCAAGAACTATCGTATATGGGCTCCACTTAACAGCTCCTCCATCAAATGCTAGCCCGCGGTCAGCGGACTGAGTTGCTTCTTCTAATGCGCGGTTGGCTTCCTTGAGATGAAGTGCCTCGGCGTGACGCGCTGCACCCTGGAGTCTGCTCACGCGATACAATAGCTCAGGTTCGCACTGACGCGCGACCCCTGACGCGGCACCCACGACCAATCCAAGCTGCGTTCTTATTACATTTTCTCGTAAGGGGGGCTGTCTCTGGGACCGGATGCAACTTCGATGTGTTCCATATTGTCCTTGGCCGCGATACTGACCGTGAAATCTTCATCTCGAACAACTTCCTCTCACCGCAATGGCGGAAATTGCCCGACTGGATCTCGCGAACATCGACCTCCGCTAGTACCGAACCGATGATTTTCTGACGCTCATCATCTGCAGCCCACAAGGTCATCCACTTGTGTAACTAACATGCACGTGACCTCCTTCTCCTCATTGTGGGTGCTGAAAAAAGCAAGCATGGCACGATTCTCCTTCAGGCCATGAGCTGCAAACCTTCTGCGAATTTTCTTCCACAAGCCTCGCCCTGCGTCGCGCGTGCCATAGACGGGCGCGCGCGCGACCAGTGCCCCGCCATCCGGCACTCCTTCGAGTCCGTTGGGCGGCGGCTCGAGCAGCAGGAGGCTTTGCGGCGTTGCACTGGCAGCCCACGACACTATCAACCTTCGCCCTTTGAATTCGCATATTGGCGAATCCGCGCCGATGCCCATCGACTCCCCCAGATCTCCACGCACGACAAACCTACTCTTGTACTGCGGTGCAACTGAAGGCCCACCTGGCCCACGAAGATGTTAATTCTTGTCAATCTCAACCCATCGCGCAGATACTATGCGATATCCTTCGTCGAGAAGATTTTCAAAGTCCACGGAATCGATAGGCGCGTCGGCGTTGAATTTCCGCCATTCTCCCCGTTCGTCGTGTCTTGCCTGTCGTAAACCGCTCTTAACGTCCTTAGATTCCCGATGGTAAACCAAATCCTTTGCACTCCTTCGCTTCTTCCTAGATTGCGGCTTATGCAAGGTGCTTTCATTGAAGATTCCGACAAGCGATTCATGTGGCTTAACCGCAGGTGTAGCTTCTCTACGACTTAACAGATCCATGCCCGGCCCGGATGTTCCGGCCCTGCGCATATCCTCAAGAAGTGGGTTCGCTGGTTCGGGAACCAGCTCAGACACGGAATGGGAAACCCGTCCTGTGCTAACATCGGCATTCTCGGCTCTTCGGCGTATCACTTCGTCGCGACTCTGTATGCCGCGCGGGACGTCATCGGTGTCTTCTGGGATCCCCGGCAGCTCTTCCGTCGCCATGAGGTGTTATTCCGCAGACTGCTCCTGCGCCCGTGGTTATTGCAGTTCACGTCGCTCGCCCGCGAATGCCCGCTGTTGCACGTCTGGATGTGCATGCCTTTCGACACCGCCGTCATGGTGCTTAGAGATCTTGGCAAGCCAACGCTTCCGCCGCTGCACACGGCCGAAGCCTGTCGGCAGCCGCGCAGACAGGTGCACCACCTGTGATAACCCATGCGTTCTTGCCATCGAAACCAACGATACGAGAGACAGTGCTCCAATTAGCAGTAAGCTCGCCGTCGGTCGGCCTCTTGCGAGAGCATGCTACATCACCAACCTGATATTCCCCAGCTAGTGGCGTTGCCTTTCGGAAAGCGGCCCTTGCCGCCCTACTCCCGACGCCGTGTTCTGCGAGTGTTTTTTGTTTTGGCAGGCGCCCTGATCGCCGCCTGGCGAGAAAACTCGACGGCTCCGTCCTCTGCAACATCCGCAAGCACTCCTGAGTCGAAAGCTTCCCCGTCGTCGCATTGACTCCCTGGGGCAGGAGACATCTTTTTCCGAGTACCCACTGAGCAGGCGTAAATCCGCCGAATCGTGAAATATCATTCTTCGCGTTGTCGACTTCTGATGCAGTAGAGATGACTTCATCGGATCCGGAAACATTCTTGTCGTGCACCACCCTCGTGAAGATGTTCTTCCAAAGTCAACCATGTCTCTCGGTTCGGTCTCTCTGCTCGGGAGACTCGACTCTGGCGTCGCGGAGGTCGATCCTATGACTCTTCACCCATGGCAGAAGCACTCCTCAGTTGTGCAGACCACGGTCTCACGCCATTCTTCTGGGCTCACCTGCCCATGCACACCAGCGTTGCTGAAGTGCAGTGCGGCATGCTCTCGAAGATGGCGCACCACCTCCCTGCGTGACAAAGATCCGGCGCTGAACAGTTGCACCCAGGCGCCCTATGTTCAAGATGGTGTAGCGTTCTCCACTGTTGTCCTTTGCCTCAAGACAGTCGATGCCGATTTTCTGGTTGAAGCAGAACTCCTTGGGCAAGGCAACCTTGTGAGTCTGAGCTAGCGGTTTGTGATGTTTGCAAGATTCACATCGATAATTCTCGGCGGCTTCAATGCAGTCCGATCACACCCCGGGGACTCTCAATAGCTACACGAGAACACGATGAGGCACATGACCATGCTGTCGGGCGATCCTTGTGCGGAGCAGACTCTGCAACCGCGCTTTCCTTCCCTTTCCTTCGTGCTTCGGCTCCCAGGTGGGTTGATTTGTTCCCGGATATGTGGTTCCTCATCCCGCAAGCGTCCCATAGAAACTGCAGCGACGTCGTCATCGCCGAAGATCACGTTCGCAATGTCACATCATCTCGAACTCCCTCCTCCGCGGCTCCAGCTGGGAAAGCTGAAAGTGCAAGTCTATCCAGTCAAACTTCCTGAACTAACTCTCTGAAGAATCCAAACACATTCGGACTCGCGGCGTCCGCGTCTGACTCGAGGCACGAGTTCAGCGTGCTGGTAATCTCAAGGCTTGAGCAACCAGGCCCATAACAACGCGCAACAATTACAGGGCCATTATCTCGAGCCAAACCGGAGAACCAATCACTGATCACGCTATAATTTGATGATGATGCGTAGGCAGCAACGAGATCAATATTGCGCTCGACGGTGTCTTTTGCCACCGAAGGCTCCCAATCTGAGCGCGCCGCCGTGTCGCTCGAGACTGGGCAGGCGAACGCGATGCCGATGACGTAGGGCAGCGCCCCGGCCAGGTTGGCACCCACTCGTCCGCGGAGACGATCGGTGTTCCTGATAACCATCTGGAAGATCTCCTTGTTGGTAGCAGACATGCCTGGCGCAGACAGCTCGGCAACACACGCAGATAACAACTCATCTTGCATACTGATGTTACACAATCCAGAGCAATAGTTGGCGCGACTTTTAGCATTCGTGGTAGTCATCTCATGATGATGGTCCAGCTGCAGTGGCGTGCACAAATACGATGCTCCGTCGA